AAAATAAAATACCCGATAAATCATGTCTCGTACTAAGATCAGGCCGGAATTTCACTTCCACGTCATGACCAGAGTTCGTTTTCTGAGGTGGAGTGATCTGTGTATTTATATTCCAAAGTCGTGCTCGTGGAATAGTAAGGAAGTTCTCATTGAAACTATTTCCACTCATCCAATCAGGTTTTGTAGCATTTATCGCTGTATCAAGTGTCTGAAATTCGTTATTTTAATTGCAAAACAGTTAATTTAGTGATAAGTTGGGCATTACACTGGAATCAAAAATACATCAGACAAACCAAGCAGATTAAGTCTAACTTTCATCCCGTATGGACTGCTATAATCTGACAGTAGGTTTCCTTTTCCTAATCCACGACGTATGTCTGATTCAGAAGGCTGGGAGGAAAGTGGCAAATAGTCAGTGCGAGCTCCATAAGGAGCAATCACTGCCTCACTTCCAGAAGATGGATTCATACGGCTCGAGTTACTGACAAAAGTTTCACCGAAACCGGTATTAGGCGTAGAAGTACTCGGTAAAACCTGTGACCATTCATTTGAACCATTGCTCTAAAAAAACTTCCACGTTTTCGAAAAAGTAAAAACACAATCCTTTCCAGTTTACCACTGAAACCAAGTGAACATAAATGTCTAGAAAAAGAAATTACTTACTTTCGAGGTGTCAATTAACAAATTTGTGCCGGAGACTTTCTCTGTTATCTGTTGCTCACTATCAGTTAACAAATCTGTGCCGGAGATTTTCTCTGTCATCAGCTGTTCAGTGTCAGTATTGTTTGAAAGTTTATCCCCTTTATTATTGTTATTATTAGAAGGAAGATTTTCAGTGGGTTTCTTCAGGATCCCTTTGCGAGGCGGTTCCGGAGTAGAAGCGATATGCGAAGGCCAATTTACATTACCGTTGGATGATGAGCCAAACAGTGAGTCTGCATCATCATACACAGATTCCTGCAACTGTATTTTGTGAACCGTACACTAAAATTTTATGAGATAAAACTGCAAATCAGTGGATCTAATGCCTATTCGTAATCACCGTAGGAGAAACATCGGAACCTTTAAAAACACAGAAGCGCAAAATGGCTTAACAAAAGTAGTTTTCTAGAATGCCAAAATTTTTCAAGACATACCTCCAAAACAAGCAATATGAATCTGGAAAAAATGCAATTCAATACAACACCTGTATTTTGTTATGTGCATATGTGATGTTCCATGGCTTAATACGGCTCAACTGCTCTTTCAGTGTGTTCTCATCCTCATGTGGTTCGACCACAGGTTCCTTACCATCATTCAATTCCGTTAAGCTGGAAAAATTACGACAATTATGCAAATATATGAGATGAAAACAAGAGTTATACAATTCCGTCAAACTGCAAAACCGACAGTTATGCAAATATATATGTGAGATAAAAAAACGTGGATTACCGCATGCTTTCCAGCATTTCCTTCTCAGCAAGCTGCCGTGCTTCCTCAAGAGCCCGTTTTTCAGTAATTTGTTCAATCGTCAGGTCATCCTTATGTTCACCCATAACCCAAACCCAAACTTCGCCATCTTCTCCCTTCAGCCATCTAAAAAATAAAAAAATCATTTTAATGATTAGAGTTAAAAGTCAAAATTCGTTGAGTACCCTCTGATTACCGCTCGAATGCCATATTCGCACCTGACTCTTCGCGAATTATCCTTTGATTTGCTGCTCTGGGGCTCGCCTTCCTGCTTACACTGCTCCTCAAAAGCTTTCCAACGTTTCACTTGCTCCTCCCGCATTTTGATAAACAATATCTGTTTTTGCTCCTCGTCCAACGCATCCAAAATTTCTGGATCCACAAACATCTGCAAAGAGCATAAAATGGGTTAAGAAGTATAAAGCGGTGATGATCATGAAATTTACTCACAAACTGGAACTTCCTATTTCTTTCTAAATTTTCAACCAACCTTTACCTTTCATCTCTCAAAATCGTCTTTTTCGGAGTTTTCGTTTTTTTCTTTTTTGTCTTCTTTTCTTTTTTTAAGGTTTTAAACCCGGAAAAGAGGGATAAAAAACCTTCCAGGATGTAACAACTACCTCTCGTCTCTCAAACCGTGTTTTCTGGAGTTTTTGTTTTTTTCTTTTTTTTGGAGTTTCAAACCCGGAAGGAGGGATGAAAAACCTCCCAGGATGTAACAACTACCTATCATCTCTCAAAATCGTCTTTTTTGGAGTTTTCGTTTTTCTTTTTTTATTTTTTTTTGTAGGTTTAAACCCGGAAAGAAGGATGAAAAACCTTCCAGGATGTAACAACAGTAGAAAGACATACTTGATCTAATATTTGCTGTAGCATACTCATGTTAGCTTAATTATGTTGCCCCGCTTTAACCATCAGCAGCAACAAACCAGAAAATTCAGTAGCAAAACCCTTAATACAGGACAATACAAACCGATAATCAGCAATTGAACCGGTTACCAGGTACCACAATCGAGCAATGATGCCGATTATGCCACCGAAATCATTTTAAATGATTCAAAAGCCGTTATGATTTAACGCAGCCAATAACGTCGAAAGAGGTGGAAATGGGGGATGTGAGGGACTTTTCCGGGCTTCAGTATCGAACTTTGACGTTTTAAGTTCGGGTTAAAGGAATATATTCGTTTTCTGACTGAAATTTTCTAAGATTTACGTCACGTCAGGGATGTTGCTCGCGTGAATTGAGATTAAGAGATACATAATTTAAAAACGACCCTCCATAATTATGTTACTTTCCCAATAAACCGCATTTTCTCCTTTTTTGCTGCGTAACCAATTGAAAGCTATATCTTTCTATATTTTCAAAACATATCAAATTGTACCTTGTAAAGAAGGAAAAGAAAAACAAAAAAATTGTATTAGTAGGTAGGTCAACGTTTACGTAAAAAGTTTAGCGATGATGAAAAAAGTAGTTTGCTGTTGAGAGGTTGTGAAGGAGCAGTTTTACGTTCACTTAACACCTAGAGGATTCCCTGTAAGATTTGTTTCTCCCATGTGTTTCCTTAAGGAATAATTGAACTAAAAATCTATAAACTTTTGGTAGTTTTCAGAATTTTCCAAGACAAGCCCAAGTTGCCAGGTTTATGATGATTTAGGATTTTTAACTTTTCAGTGCCGGCATTATTTTTAATATTGTTAATATCCTTACTTTTGTTAATATTTCATAAGAATATAAACTTTTTAAGATTATGTGGAGCTAGTGCACTTTCTCTGATTGCATTTTTTGCAATACTTGTCTATATCTTATACTCACCATACTTTTCTTTAAACTAAAATGTTGCAGATATTGACCTATTATTAAGGTGGATCAACAACTTCAATGCCAGCGTCATCATATTCCACTTCTACAAAACCTCCATTTGTTGCGTTAGAAACGAGGTGAGATTCACTGCATTTTATGACAGTACAAATAAAACACATTTGGTACCGTACTGTCTGCTTCATTTTGCCATTCAGCGTCAGTTTTTCCCACCAGTCGTGCGTTAGGATGTTATTTCTTATTAACAATATTGATCAAACAAGCGGCACATTTTCTATAATGTCATCTTATCATCGGTTTAGCATTATCTTATCATGCAGTATCATTTGATTATCTCTCTCTATCTTTTTCCATCCTGTTACGTTATTGTCTGGGCAGTACGAGTGCTGGTAATTTTGCAAGCGGGACAATTGCTCAAAGACTATGGGTACTAATGCCGTACAACTAATTAACCAAGATAAAAATTTCAAGTAATACAAGGTAATTATTGGCACGTATTGGCTTGATTCAGATTCTGAACTGTTTCAAATTTTAAGCATGGGAATGGTTTGTATTGAGCTGTACTGGGATCATGCTCCCAAAACGTGTAAAAATTTCGCCGAACTAGCTCGACGCGGATACTACAATGGAACTATATTTCATAGGATAATTGCCGATTTCATGATACAGGGTGGCGATCCGACCGGAACCGGTTTTTTTCCTGAGTTATTTTAATAAAAACCAATGATTTATGGATTTAGATTTGTGAAGTAGAAAGCCTTTTTACTAAACAACAGTAAGAGGATTGCGAAGCTATTGTTCATTATCACTAAACTTGCTTATTTCCGACACAGAAACTATGTTGTATTTTCTTAGCTATGATTTTTATTGTAGGCCGTGGTGGTGCATCAATTTATGGAGATAGATTTCCGGATGAAATCCATGATAATTTAAAACACAGTGGTGCTGGAGTCATTTCGATGGCCAACACTGGACCAAATACGAATGGTTCACAGTTTTTCATTACTTTAGCACCAGCACAACATCTGGATGGAAAGCATACTATTTTTGGACGAGTTGCTGCTGGTATGAGAGTACGTTGTCTTCCATTTCTTGATATTTTTTATTAATAATTTTTATTTAATTGTTCGACTTTTCTGTTTTTATTTAATAATTCGATATTTTGAAAATCTGAATTACTTTTACTTGAAAGTTTTCACGTATTACTTGTGCTATTACTAGATTAAGATAAAAAAATAAGGAAATTATGATGCCTTGGGTGACAAAGTGGAATAGTGCTACAGATCTAGCTTTACCTGGTTAGCTTCGGAACAGTACAGTTATTGGCCCTAATTATACGACAGTGCAAAACGAAAGAAAATTTAGTAGTTCCGGTGATCTAAGGCATTTCACATTTTCAATTAAGACTTGTTTTACGAAACATTTGAAAGAAATTACGAAAATTGCTAACCATGAAGAGACATCATACGTTCAAATTAGGGGAAACATTTGCAATTCATAGATCGGACCCGCAGAAGTGCTGCAGGAGCAGTATGTATTAACGAAGTACCCTTCTGATCTTTCCTTATGAGCGGCTTCTCAAGATAGGGAGAAAAGTGGGAGATCTTTTGAGATCACAAATAGCAAACATTAATCAAACATTGTCGGAAATTAGCGTTCAACGAATATGCTCCTTATTTCCAAATCAACCAATTAATAGTAATTAGTGTGTGAAGTCTCAAAATTAAAAAGGAAGGAATTTCTGCTGATATAAGGAAAGTTGGGGAGCTTTCTTTCTACTCCAGTGATATTGGAATCCTAGATCAGTTTTAAGGCTTCTGTGAATAAACAGTCCGTGCAGGCCGGCGTCTAGTAGTCTGTTATGTACATTTTCAAAAACAGAAAATATTGGATGATAATTTTTTATTCATATGACAATGAAGATTCGAACAAAAAAAGTATGTCAGCATTCAGATCCGTGGAGTATCGTAACCACTGCTAAGCTTTTCATCCATCATTTTAATGGAAGTTAAATTAATAAGTGATATAGGAAGTCGAAGAAATATTTCATATTAAGTTAGTTATTTCGAGTGTTTCTGCATTAACTTTCCGGTACACGGAAAGCACTACTATCTTGCTAATGGTAAGAATTGCAGTATATTTTTGAGGTTTTCTGGAATGGGGCAAAAAAGGTTAATCTAACAAGTACCCATTTCATTTATGCTACTTCATTCTACATTATGATGTTATTTTGTTATAGGCGGTACAAAAAATTGGACTGGTGGACACAGATGCTCATGATCGGCCAAAAAGCGAAGTTCGAATATTAAAGGCATATCCTAAAGACGACTCTCGCAGTTGATTATCTGTTTTTAAGAATGAATGCGAGATAGATGAATGAATTCATCTTTATGCGGTTATCATTTTCATTGAAATGACCTCAGATTTAAATTTATTGAGTTATTGTGACTGTTTCTCTCATTCTCATACTTTTAATTGTTGAGAAAGTTTTATATCCGGGTTGTTGAAATAAGTTTGTATATTCAGGCTGTTGAAATAAGTTTGTGTATCCAGGCTGTTGAAATAAGATAATGTTTTGCAAGCTCGTAATGAGGTACACGCGTTTCCGTTATCCAGAATATAATTTACAAGTAGGATGGAATGGGCGTGTTTAATGTATCTGCATGTATGTGGGCATGTGTGTTTGCATTTGGGAAAATCCCAAGTTATGTAAGCTGATTTTTTTGTTGAACGTTTCCCTACAAGATAGCTGATTATGTTACGTTGGCCGTTGTTATGCATGTTGCTGTTCCCGTTCGCTAACTGTTCGTATCTTGTGGACAGTGTATTTTCGGCTCCAGTCATGTAAGTTTAAATCGCATTTTCAAGAGAGAAGAAGCGATGTTTACATACATCGTTAAAAAATTGAAAGATGAAAAATGAACATTTTGAGCATCTTTTCCAAATAAGCTCTTTAAATCATTCCGTGAATCTTTTGTTTTCCATCAGATTCAGGCTTAAATTTTTTACCTGGAATTGACTACTAACGGTCGAACCAATGCGTAAATTAAAAGGATTAATTTGCTGATAATATGAGCAAGCTTGAGACAAAGAAGTGGTGATCAGCTTTGTTAGGTTCTGCAGGTGCATCACGAAGTGTTGACTTATTCCATTTAATATCTGAGTAATCCTGACAGAGATTGGGTTTTGAAATTGTTTAGTTTATTCCGTAATGCCCTTTATATGCAGGTTATTGCAAATAACGTTTAACATGTGACTTTCTTCACCTGTTAGTAAATTTTGGATTTAAATTACATGAAGAAAGGATATCTTAGATTTTGAAGAGAGAAAAAGATTACTTTTCGAAACACAGTGAACAGTTTCGTTAATATAAATATATAAAATAAAAGATTTATTACTGTTGTGTCTGTGTCCTTCTATTTTAAACACTTTCATTTTGCTTCCCGATATACATTAGCCAGACAATACTATTCCATATTTCTCTGATCCTTTGAATCTTAATTCCTTTCCTTCTTTGCTCCACATTTAATAATACTTTTAAAAAACATTCAAGAAAATGAACCAGTTTAAAATTGTCATGCATTCTTTGTGATCCCTTATGTTAAAACCGTTTTATAAATCGCCACTTTTTTTTAGCTATTTCCTGCCCATATGTTTGTTTTAATCTTGGATAATTCAATTTCTTATCGTTCGGCCATAATTCACTTTCTAAACAGTAAACCTATATCCATCCAACTTGTTGCAATTTTACAAATTCCCTCTTAATAATTGCTGCTTCCTTTTTTCCTATTTTTAATCCACTCAGCAACTGACTCGTCTATTTGGCACTTGAAATTAGAGTTCTGAATAAACTGGAACTTTTAAAACACTGCAATATTTATTCGAATAAAATATCCGAGAACAGTACCGTTCAGAGCTGCGGAGTCTTATAACACATGAGAATTATTATCAGTAAAGTTCAACTGATAAAAGTGACTCAATTTCAACAGAATTGACAGATGAAATGCATATGCATTCAAATCAAAGCTTTATGTATTTCAAATAAAAATGCGATATATTGTTAGATCGATACATTAGACGATCCTATATCATTAGTATTATTATCCAATAAAATGTCAAATACAAGTTGACGTTACGACACTACAATTTTCATTCGAGTCATGCATCTCATTACTCATTTATTATTAATTTTTTGATTACTGATATGGAAAAGGAATCTTATAACAACAAAAAAAAAAAAAAAAAAAAAGGAGAGAAAAAAGAGAAAAGACAAGAACTTTATACATTAAGCCTTTAAAATAATGGATTTCTTGAGCTGAATAAACTATGTCTTAAATAAAATTAAATATCGTATTTTGCGAAACTTCAAAATAAATAGCAATTTCAGGAATTGTTTAACTTCTTCATCAATTATGAGAAGCTCGAAATAGCTGGAGATATTCGATTATTGCATTGCTAAGTAACAAAATTCAATTCTATTTGGTAAATTATAAGAAAGTAACAAAATTCAATTCAACTCTCATTCTAAAAAAAACAAAAATGAAAAGCATCCTATAAATACGTTTACTTACACATTAGACTTAATCAATACTATGGTATTGACTATAACAGAACTAGTGTTTACATTTTGTTCGATTAAATTCTTCAAATTATTGTTATCATTCAAATTCTATTAAATCAAATTAACATTTGCTAATTCAAAAAAAAAAAAAAAAAAAGAAATTTACCTTCATTTCAATCAGTGATAAG